GATTTTGGGCTGAGACAATGGGGTTTTAGATTTCCTCTTGGTACTGATTTCTATTTTTATTCTACTGTGGTCTGAGAAGATGTTTTGTATTATTTCAATGTTTTTCAATTTATTGAGATTTGCTTTATGACTGAGAATGTGGTCAAACTTAGGGTATGTTCCGTGTGCAAATGAGAAGAATGTATATTCTGGGATTGTTAGGTGGAGTATTCTGTAGATGTCTATTAGGTCCAATTGGTCAAGTGTTGAATTTAAATCCAGAATTTCTCAGTTGTCTGTTTTGATGATCTGTCTAATGCTGTCAGTGGGGTGTTGAAGTCTCTCACTGTTTTTGTGTGACTGTCAAAGTCTTTTCTTAGGTCTAGAAACATTTGTTTTTTAAATCTGAGTGCATATATAATACATTCAGGATAGTTAGGTGTTCTCATTGAATTGCACTCTTTATTATTATGTAATTAATGCCCTTCTTTGCCCCTTTCTACTGTTGTTGGTTTAAAGTCAATTTTATCTGATACAAAAACAACAACTCCTGTTTTTTTTGTTTTCTATTTGTGTGGTAGATCTTTCTCCATCTTCTACTTTGAGCCTATGGGTGTCACTGCATGTGAGATGGTCTCTCAAAGATAGCAGAAGGATGGTTTTTTTTTTTTTTTTTTTTTTTTTTTTTTTTTTTTACCCAGTTTGCCACTCTGGGTCTTTTAAGTAGAGCATTTAGGCCATTTACATTCAAGATTAATATTGATATGTGGGGGCTGGGCATGGTGGCTCACGCCTGTAATCCCAGCACTTTGGGAGGCTTAGGTGGGCGGATCACCTGAAGTCAGGAGTTCAAGACCAGCCTGACCAATATGGTAAAATCGTGTCTCTACTAAAAATACAAAAATTAGCTAGGCATGGTGGCAGGTGCCTGTAGTCCCAGCTACTCGGGAGGCTGAGCCAGAAGAATTTCTTGAACCTGGGAGGCAGAGGTTGCAGTTAGCTGAGATCGTGCCACTGCACTCCAGCTTGGGTGACAGACCAAGACTCCATCTCAAAAATCTATTTATCTATCTATGTAGATACACATATGTGGGGTTTTGTCTCTGTCATACGTAGTGTTAGCTAGTTGCTTTGTAATCTCAATTGTGTAGCTGCTTCATAGGGTCTGTGGCCTATGTGCATGCAAGCCAACACCATTTATTGAAAAGACTATTGCTTCTCCACTGTGTATTCTTGGCACCCTTGTCAAAAATTAGCTGGCTGTAATATGCTTGGGTTTATTCTGGGTTTTCTATTCTGTTTCATTGATCTATATGTCTATTTTTATGCTAGTACTATGTATTACTTTGGTTACTATAGTTTTGTAATATAATTTGAAATCACGAAGTGTGATGCCTGAAACTTGCCCTTCTTTCTCAAGATTGCTTTGGCTAATCAGGGTCTTTTGTGACTCCACATGAATTTTAGAATTATTTTTTCTATTTCTGTGAAAAATGCCATTGGAAATTTGATAGAGATTTCATTGATTCTATTGATTGCTTTGGATCATATGAACATTTCAACAATATCAATTCTTCCAATCCATGAACACAGGATATCTTTCCATTTACTTAGGTCTTCTTCAATGTCTTTCATCAGTGCTTTATAGTTTTTAATGCATGGATCTTTTACCTCCTTGGCTATCAATTGTAAAGTTTCTAAATGCCAACAAATATGCTACAATCCAGATCTCTGTATTCCCTACAATGTCTAGCATAGAGCAGGGTAATCTCTATAACAAGTTTATCAAATCAAATAATGACCTATTTTATGATCTACATTTTAATATAAACAAATTTCTAAGTTGAGACTGCTGGGGGAAAAACATTTTTGTTGAGGAGTCACCAGTTTCATAATGCCACACCTCTAGAATCTAAATGTTATCCTGTTTACCATTTTGCACGATCTTTTTTTTTCTCATATCCCATTTCTTTCTTGCCTCCTGTCTAACTCTGAGAGGACAGTGAGAGTATCTTCCCATTGTGACTTCTCTTCAGCTACAGAATTGTCCTTAAATAGGTTATCTACAAAACCTGCAGTACAATCATACAGAGTGTGAAAGTACAGCCTTGGCCCTTAGTATTTTTGCTGTCTCATGCCTGAAAACCTGAAATACAAAATATCATCTTTGCTGACTAAGAAATTTCAGTAGAGAGAATACCAGAGGAACTCAAAATTTCTTATCCTTGAACTATAACCATAGGAGCAGAAGAATGAGAATCTACAGGAAACCCAAGTCATGGAAAGCTACTAGTGTTGGTGTAAGTGTGTGTGTGCATTGTGTATACATGTTCCCAGCATCAGGGGACGTCAGTATTACTGATATATTTCTTATGGATCTTGTAGAAAAAAAGGAAAATCTTACTATGGTTGTATAAAAGACCAAATATAGTGGCTCACGCCTGTAATCCCAACACTTTGGGAGGCCAAGGAGGGCAGATCATGAGGTCAGGAGTTCGAGACCAGCCTGACCAACATGGTGAAACTGCATCTCTATTAAAACACAAAAATTAGCTGGGTGTGGTAGTGTGCACCTGTAATCCCAGCTACTCAGGAGGCTGAGGCAGGAGAATCAGTTGAACCCAGGAGGCAGAGGTTGCAGTGAGCCGAGATCGTGCCACTGCACCCAGCCTGGGTGACAGAGCGAGACTCTGTCTCAAAAATAAAAATAAAAAAAAACAAAGACCAAATATAAATCATTTTCATCAATTATGCTTTATGTCAAATTCTGCACAGTACATTTTCTCCTATGCATATCTATATATCAGCAATTACTATATGCTACATTTAATTATAATATACTTTTTCACCATTCACATAGTCTTCACAATTTGTTCTTTGTGTAGCATGTTATGTGCTCAAAGATTTAAAAAACAGAAAGAACGTTTTTGACCTCCCCAATGAGTGGGCTGATATATGAAAGTATACTGATATTCTGCATTTTACTTACCCGTTGAATGGGTAGGCATGAAATTTAAAGAAAAAGTAAGCATTTAGCTATTACCTAAAGTATAAATCATTACTTTGATTATTGAGGGTATCATTCTTACAAAAGTGTTTTATATTAGGACCTATGTATTCAGCTATTTCACGTAACCAATGGAAATAATGTAATCCTATACATGTAATTACATTATTGATAAAAGATATAAAAATAATATCTACTATCAAAAATTAAAATTAAAATAGGCCCAAAATAGCCTAATTTTATGCCAGGTGCGGTGGCTCACACCTGTAATCCCAGTACTTTGGGAGGCCAAGGCTCCCTTGAGGTCAGGATCACTTGAGATCAGGAGTTTGAGACCAGTCTGGCCAACATGGTGAAACCCCATCTCTACTAAAAGTACAAAAATTAGTGGCTGGGTGCGGTGGCTCATGCCTGTAATCCCAACACTTTGGGAGGCTGAGGCGGATGGATCACAAGGTCAAGAATTCGAGACCAGCCTGACCAACATGGTGAAACCCCATCCCTACTAAAAATACAAAAATTAGCCAGGTGTGGTGGTGTGCACCTGTAATCCCAGCTACTCAGGAGGCTGAGGTAGGACAATCACTTGAACCGGGAGGCGGAGGTTGCAGTGAGCCAAGATTGAGCCATTGCACTCCAGCCTAGAGCAGCAGAGTGAGACTCTGTCTAAAAAAAAAAAAAAAAAAAAAAAAAATTAGCCAGGTAAAAAAAAAAAAAAAAAAAACAAAAAATTAGCCAGGTGTGGTGGCGGGTGCCTGTAATCCCAACTACGCAGGAGGCTGAGGCAGGAGGATTGCTTGAACCCAGTAGACAGAGGTTGCAGTGAGCCAAGATTGTGCCACTGCATTCTAGCCTGGGCAACAAAGACTCCATCTCAAAAAAAAAAAAAAAAAAAAAAAAAAAAGCCTGTTTAAAAAACAAAGACCCCATTCCTCAAAAGTAGCCTGTTTAAAAACAAAGACCCCGTTCCAGGTTTTGGGGCCAGGTGTGGTGGCTCATGCCTTTGATCCCAGCACATTGGGAGGCTTTGGGAGGCTGAGGTGGGTGGATCACTTGAGGTCAGGAGTTGGTGACCAGCCTGGCCAACATGGTGAAACCCCATCTCAACTAAAAATACAAAAGAAATAGCTGGGCGTGGTGGCATGCACCTGTAATCCCAGCTACTTGGGAGGCTGAGGTGGGAGAATCGCTTTAACCCGGGAGGCGAGGTTGCAGTGAGCCAAGATCCCGCCATTGCACTCCAGCCTGGGCAACAGAGCGAGACTCTGTCTCAATAATAACAACAAAAACACGTTTTTGGAAAGAAAAACACACATGGCCCAACTCCTATGCCTCTAAGTCAGTTGCCTGTAAAGAGAAAGTATTCTCACCCTTCCACTATCCCAGAATTCTTAGAGGAGCAGGACCCCTATGTGGCAGTCTAGCACTATCTATCATGGGGTACATAAGCCCACCTAATTCTGAGGTTCAGTATCAGGAATCGCCTGCTTACAGATGAAAGCTTCATTCTCTATTTTTGTCCTTTATCAGTGTAAAAGTAACATTGTGCTTCTCCATCTGGTAACTCTTTTGCTTTATAGGTTGGTTCAGGACTTGAATGGAGAAGAGCATTGCTATTTATTTGACCTCAAAGATCCCAATACTCTTGGTAGAATTTCAACTCTTTCTAGGATGGGAAGGAAAGAACAATGCCAACTAAATGTGACATGAAGTGACAAACGTTAACATAATGCTTGTTTAATGGCATCCCTTGTTTTTCATGTTTTGAAACAGAGAGAACTAACAAAGTAGATGACTTTGGATGGGAATGTGGGTCTTTTACCTCTCAATCAGACAAATGGTCTATTTTCTTTTGTTACTATACAATACTATTTTGCCAAAGAGAGAAATGTTCTTTCCTGAGCCATGGAGGCTAAGTTTGGCAGCACACCAAAATTATAATTTGATATTAGATGTTAAAGCTGGAAGTAAGTTTTAGTTTTTTGGCTCCTTCATTTATGAAATGGCAAGTTACCTTTATAAGTCGGGACAGTGTCCAACTTTCCTTTTTTAACTTGTTGTCTCTCCAAAGGCCGGACTATTGCCACAGGCTGCACTTTGTATGAATTAAAATCCCGTGTGTAGGTAGTACCAAGATCAATCTTCTCTTGTTTTGGTTTATATTCTTCTGGCACATGGCGAGGCTGTTTAACTATTTCATAAGGACGATAATCCGACCTGAAATATATAAATTTGAAACACAGCCTCACAAGTTCTTTTATTTCTAATTATTTCAATGAAGTATGGAAAATGTCAAGGCTTTTTTTCCTTGAAAAGTCTGAGAAGATATTAAAATGGTAATAGTTGATAAACTACTTGAAAGAAGTAACTGAATTTCTTATAAAGTCCTATCCAGTGACTAAATATCTTGAGAAAAGTAAATATATCAAAAATTCTAGTTTTTAAAATATCATTAATTTTTAATTAACGTCAGTTAATTGGATTTTCAGTAAATAATATCCTCAAGTAATTGATTTTTTTTTCTAACCTGGAAGGAAATTTGAAGTAAAATTTACTAAACCTGAAAAGTTTAAAAAATATATTCCCCGAGTCCACTTTGTCAAAGTCCTTATTCATCCTACTTAAAGTCTCCAGCAAACTATTTTGGCATACTTTCTTCTTTTTGAATTCATGCTGTTTTCTCGCTTATTGTCAGATGATTAGTATCTCTGGTCTTTAGACATAAATCACATTCAGATTATGGATATAAGTGTTCCTCATCTTTGGATCTCCCAGCTGGTAATGCAGCCAACCTGGGCGCTATATAACATTATGTGACAGAGGTAGTACGGCAGACACTGAGGTAAAAACTGAGGAATGGAGAAGAACACAAACTTAGACTGATCAGACTGCCTACGTCCAAATCCTGGCTCTGTCATTTACTAGCTGTGGGACCTTGGATAACTTCATTAACCTGTTTATGCCCCAGTTTCTTTATATTTCATAGGGCACAATAATATCTTCTATCTCACATAGTTGTTTTTAAGGATATACACACACACTTTTAAGACTGCTTGGTATATAGTAAGATCAATATGGCAGCCACTACTGTTACTATCCCAAGACTTCATGGATTGCTTTTTTCTTCTGGACTCTATTGGCACATCACTCATTTTGTGATTAAACTATCTTGTATTAATCAATATTTGCTGCGTATGTCTGTAAGTTCCCCGAAGAAACCCGAAACCCTCACTGAATTCTTCTTCTATTCACAACATAACTTCTTAGACTAATTAACTGTTTTCTCACCCACTCCAATCCATTTCAATCTGGTTTCCAGCATTGCCACTTCCCTAATACAGCTCTAAGGTTCACCATGTCTTCCATGTGATTAAATTCATTGAACATTTTTAATCTTCATCTTACTTGACCTCTCCAACAGTAATTGACATTATTATCCACACTGTCTGTTTCTAGGAAACTTTCTCTTCCTGACTTCCTGATTATTTCTTGCCAGTCTCCTATGCAGCTTCATCTACCTTTACTCGGTCATTAAATACATGTTAGCATTCCTCAAGACTTGGACCTACCTACACATTCTTCTTTTCATCCACTGTTCACTCCTGAGGATAACTCTTCTACTCCCACAGCTTCAATTACTACCTAGATTGAAAAAAACCCTCAAATTTACATCTCAGCTTAGACCTCTTCTCTGAGCTCCATACCAGTATCTACGATGGTCTCTTGGATATTCAGTGGCAACTCAAAACTTAATATGTCACAAATCAACTCGCTATTTCCCCTCAATAAATGTGGTCCTTTTTGCTTGTTCTCTATTTAAGCGAATGCTATTACCATCATTTCAGACGCATAGTCAGAAATTTAGGACTCACCCTTTATACCTTACTACTCTCCCCTATCTAGTCCGTCATCAACTACTGTCAATTTTGCCTCATAAATATCTCTCAAATCTAATCACTTTTTTCCACTTCTGCCACTACCATAATATGCAAAGTTTTTACAATGGCTCATTTGAATCACTTTAATAGCTTCCTAAACTCATTTACCCACATCTACTCTAGTTCTTCCTCCAATCTTTTCTCCACATGGCACCTGAAGTAATGCTTTGCCAAGTAAATCTGATCAGGTCATTCTTGCTCTCATCTTCCTGGCCTCTTCCTTAACTCCTTTCTTCCCCTACTCTACCCTCCACCAAAAAAAAAAAAAAAAAGAAAAAAAAGAAAAGAAACCTTCATGACATATTACTATAAGGACATAGACAACACTGAACATGGCTTAAAGGCTCTGCCTGGCCTCCTTCACTAGCCTCAACTGTCACTGTGCTTCCTCTTGCTTTCTCTGCTCCAGCTGGCCCTCTTTGATACTTTTCTCCTTTCCCTGCTCCTTCCTGCTACATGCTACTCTCTCTCTCTCTGCTTGGAATGCATTTCCTTCCCCCTCTTAATCCAGCTAATTTAACATCCTTCAGGTTTTGACTCATTTTTCTTATTCCCTGATAAAGTCAAACTCTTATTCTGGCTGTCAAGATACCTGTGTCTTTCCTTCATAGATTTCATCATTGTTGTAATTTTAGACTTATTTTGAGTAATGTTTTTGATTGCCTTCTCTAATAGGTTGCAACATCTGTCAGCACAGAGATCATGACTGCTTTTGGTCACCACTATATCCCAGGTGTCTAGTATAGTGCTTGATGCTTAATAAATGCTTAATAATTTTTTATTTAATGAATGAAGAGTAGTAGAAATCACATACCTCTGCTTCTCAAGACATGTGAGTTGTTCTTCGCTCTTCCTAAATACAAGCTAGAGGGGAATAGGCTAAAATGCACTCAGGAAGTGAGAGAATCAGCAAGGGAAAAGCAAAGCAAAAGCTTAGAACTCTCAGTTTCTCTGGTTAGACTAGTTAAGTGTTAGAAAGTATGCCTCCAAACCCAAAGCCGCTTTCTATGGAGTAGTAGTAGAGGGTGAATGCAGTCTTATTCATCTGATATATCCTAAAACATTTGATGTGTCTAGAATCCTACTCCTTCAGGGCAGGCTTCCTGCCAACTCTGGCAGTCATCTAAATTAGCTACAACTGTACTACTATAAAGGATCCAAAATCTTGTACAAGTTCAGATACCTCTTTACACAGCCACTTCCTGTACTATGCAAATGTACAGAATGCTGCTTTGTTTGTACAGATAAATCCACTTTCCACTGCATAGTCACCACAGTCAACATGAGGGAGTCAAGCAAGAGTTTCAAGCCTAGATTATGACTCTTAGAAATACTGCTAGTTTCCCGGTGAAAATAGAAAGAAAAGATCCAATGTCTTAGTAAGTGAAGAGATGACAATTTAAGAAATGAATAAATTTATTTTTATTGGCATTTTGGACTTTGGGACTTTCTTTTTTTTTAAAAAAAAAAAAAAACTATTAAGGCTTACTTGAATAAGTCAATAGGGGAAATCCAGAATTGAAAAGCAACTGCCTTTTAAAAGAAAGATATGGCAGGTTAAATTTTCTCAATTTCTACACTTAGAACTGGTTAAAAGCACAATCTCTGTTCAATAAATACAAATATTGTAAAATTTATTTTAAATCTCTAATATGAACCACTAAAGCATCAAGAAATAAATATTAATAAATTAAAGTGAAGACAAAGAGTCATTCCCATTTAATCAGTGTCAACCAGTTGTTCAAATTTCTTCATCTCACTTATTATAATCCATAATTATCTTAGTTATTTATCTGATATTTTCATATCTGGACTTTCCCACAGCACTATAAACAACAGTAAAGCAAAGACCGTCTCTGTTTTATGTTCCATGTCATCCTCAGTGAGCAGTCCAGTTCCTGACCTACTGCACTGAATCAGTGGCAACAGAATCACTAGCAATGCTGGTTAAAAATGCAGTTTCCTGAGACCCACTCTATTATCTACTGGCTCTTTTAGATGGAGACCTGGAATCTGCAATTGTAACACTTCTAGATGGCACTACTGCATACCAAAATCTGAGGACTTAAGTAAAATCTTCCATCTGTGGAAGAGTCATACACCTACACAAGTAACTAGAGTCACCAAAGTATTATTACTGCAAGGAATGCCTGAAATGTTAAAAATAGACATATTAGACTAAAAGTTTGAAAGTCTCCACCTTTGCTATATAAGAATGAGCTGCATCTGAAATGAAATGAAAATGGCTAACATCAAAATCTAAAGCTATCACAGAGCATTTTAAAAACTCTAAATTATAGAAATATGATGTCTGAGTTCCTTGAAAGCAGGAACTTCAACTTGTAAAAGGAAAATAAATCTTGGGGCCCCGAAATCACTAAGCGAAGGGGAAAAGTGAAGCTGGGAACTGCTTAGGACAAACCTGCCTCCCATTGTATTCATAGTCACCCCTCTGCTCACTGAGACAAGTGCATATCTGATTGCTTCCTTTGGAGAAGCTCATCAGAAACTCAAAAGAATGCAACCGTTTGTCTCTTATCTACCTATGACCTGCAAGCTCACTCCCAGTTTCGAATTTGTCCCGCCCTTCCGGAACGAACCAATATTAATCTAATGTATATGTTGATTGACGTGTGTCTCCCTAAAACGTATAAAACCAAACTGTGTTCTGACCACCTTGGGCACATATTATTGGGACCTCCTGAGGCTGTATCACCAGCATGCGCCCTCAACCTTGGCAAAATAAACTTCCTAAATTAACTGAGACCTATCTCAGATATATGGGGTTCACAAACTTATTGACATTTTTATACTTAACACCAGGATTGTACCTTGAATATAGTACATACATTAACAGTTCAAATAAAATAATGAGTAAATATACTTAATCCACCTAACTGACAAAAATTTGAGAAATTAAAAAAGGTAAGTTCAAATGAAAAGTACAGATTTAAGAGGATTTTTTTTTCATCACTCACTGAACAAATATTGGGTACCTACTATGTGCTAGTAGGCATTGTACTAGTTTTCTAAAAACAGAATGCTGAGACAACAATAGACTTATTTCCTGCTTTCATGAAACACTGAAACCAACCTAATGATAAATAACAGGAAGGTGCTTTGGGAGCTTACATAGAAGAATTTTACCTAATCTGAAAACTAGGTGAAGTGTCAGAGAAGGCTTATTCAAGTGATAATTTAGTTGAAATCTGAAAACTGGGTGAAGTGTCAGAGAAGGCTTATTCAAGTGATAATTTAGTTGAGATCTGCAGATTGAAT